GTCTGCAGTCTCCGTTTGTCGCACACTGGTTTTGTATCTGTAAAGTAACAACTACAAATGTGAAAACACGATTTGCACTACTAATGATTGATACACTGGGGGTTATGTGAATAAGACTATAAAAAAGGTTACACATGTTCCCTTTGAGCACTCAGCTCTTTCTATGGCTGTGAAAGTAAAAGTCTAGTGATCTACCATCCCACTAACAATTAAGTGGGGGTTGTAGATCCTGCCCATTGCTACTTTCTCCTGGCCCAAGGTATAAAGCTATATTCTCCAATTATTATCATGTCATGGATAACAATACCTAGGGTAGAAAATATCACTATCTTTATTTTCCTGACATTTGTATGTTGATTTAACCTTTAAGTATGGTATTACCCAGAGGTAATGTAAAAAACAAATATACACCATCTAGGTTTGGGTCTGCAGTGCGTAATTTTCGTGATAGCTTTTTGGTTGTTTTTCCTAGACAAATGGAATGCTGTATTATTAGGGAGAAAAACATGGGAATCTCTTGGAGCTTCTAACCAACCCCTCACTGGCAGACTAAACATTGTCATCAGTAAGTCGTTAAAGTAAGTAAACTGTTATCCAATCTATCACTTACTCTATTTGTTCATACATTCATTTATCAGGACTCTCAATAAGGACCAGAATCTCCCTAAGGTACAAGGAACGTGACCCTAGCTACTTTTGGAGGGAAATACAACAAAGAAGAACCAAAAGAAATCTGTAGTTGTTTGATTCCCAGCCTAGTTGTTGTATTTACTCAGCTACTTGAAATCTTAGTGACAGCCCTGAATTATAACCAGTAAACGCTATTTTGATGAATGAAAAAGTTAATTTAATCACCAACGGTAGAGCATGTAACTATTCAGTAACTAGTAACTTAATGACAGTCAGAAATCTCGGTCCGTATTATATTTTTTAGACTTTCAAAAAATTATAGATTGGACTAGTTTACTGATAGTATACGTTGTGCCTTAGTGCGAAATTAATTTTTTATCCCATTGTTAATTATGAATTTTTAATCCAAATTTACAAGGTAAAATTATACTTCTGACCATGCTCTTAACTTGCACATCATCTCATTATTTTCTGTCCTTGTTTGTCAGGAGTCCTCCATCTGGTGCTCATTATGTTTGTGACAGTGTTTTGTCGGCAGTTCAGATGCTTTCTGCGCCTCCTTTCACCAGCACGGTAGAAAGAATACTTGTTCTTGGTGGAACTGATGTGTATAAGGTAAACAGTTGTACTGCATGTTCATGTGATTCGATATACACTGTACCACTGCGTTTAGAGAGTGTTTAGAATTGAGCTATTTATTAGCCTTCATAACAGGCGCCCGCGTTTTTCGGGAGAACAAAGCAAGAAGCAGGCGAGGAGCGTGAGACACACGCGAGAGGGGAAGGCGCGGAAAAAATAACTTACTTTTCTGCGCCTTCCCCCTTCGCGCGCGTCTCCCGCTCCTCGCTTGCTTCGCGTTTGCATTCGTTCGTTCTGAAGGGTAGCTATTTACAGACAAACCCTCGCATCGATTGACACTCAATGTATGTACATTTGCATCTTACAAACCACTAGCAACCACTCATTTCAAAAAGCTGGCTCACTAACTTACAACAAACGGTGCTTACAAACGTTACAAAGGTCTTATTGACAAGCTGAAGCAAAACCGACAATGGTAGAATAACTGTACAACCCACTTTATTATGACTAACAATAACGACAGCATTACTATGACAAAAGACGAATCGAAGTGCACGGCTACTTATATCGAGAGTCTTCATGGCCAATAACATACGGCTTAACTGAGAGACGACCAATAATATTGCGACTTAATTCGCCAATCAGGTCAATAAACAGCTTTAAATACCATCAACCGATGTGATACAACTCACTTTGAGTCTGAAGATGCCTACCGCACAGGTTGTCGAAAATATGTAAGAAAATGTCAACAGCAATCCTATTCAGGACTACATCTACCCGGACGATCATATCCAACCTATTTATGACCTACTGTGTCTTATACTTTATTGGTCAATGGCAGCCGCACCTTGCGCGCAGAGTTTCCTTTTGCCTGTTTCTTTATTAAGTGTGGAAGCCCTCTCTTTGTGGAGATTGCGCTTAAATTAAAATCTAACAGGTTTTCTCCAAATTGGCCCTCTCGACACTCGAAAGTGGGAAAAGATTCTTTGTTTTACAAAAAGAAAGATTCTTCTTGCACAATACGTAGTGATTTGCGATAATTTGAGAATACTCGAAAAAACTTTACGTCAAATCTAACAGGTTACCTCCAAATTGGAGGAGCAGATAGCTAATGAAGATAAGGGATAGAAAATTGCTATCTTTGCCTTTTTTCGTAAATTAAAAGACAGTGGCACAGCTGGGAGATTGTCCCGAAAATTTCCATATTTGGCCTCGAAGATAATTTTTCGGCAAATCACTGTAACTGTTGATGAAAAACAGTAAACTTGAACATTGCGTTTTGGTGTTTCCTGGCACTGCATTTGCCACCAAAGTATTACCTAAACAGACTTCTTCAAAACTACGTTCGGTCCGTTACCACAAATGAAGGTTAACCCGTCGCTCCTAGCCTGAATTTCATCCGATTACTTCGAGTCGTTTTCTCCTCTCAGCAACGTCTGAATCGACCGACCGTTAATGGCGTCCAGTGACGTCACTACTACCCGAAAACCGGGTAGTGATTTTGATTGGTTGATTGTCTAAACATTCGCATAATTATGCATAGTTATGAGAAATTTTAGCGGGATTGTCGTTCGATATTCAGCGGATCACATCCCTGGTATGCTTTCGTGGAGTTCAAACATTTCGATAATCTTTATCGTAAACAGCAAAATTGCCCTCGTCTTCGAATTGCACTGAAATGCTAAATTGAACTGCGAATGAAGAATCATTGCGGAGAGTCGGTAGATTTTTCATTTAGAGCCGCTTTGCGGTTTCGGCAGTGATTTTGTTTATGCGAAGTTTCTGAGACCAATGTTGTAATTCGACCTTCTAGCTATTTTCACCATCAAGTGTAATGATTCTGTTAGCTTTTCTTTCTTGTTTCCTTGTTTGCTTTTTTCTTCGTTAAGGACCAAATAGCTTCTCTTCAATTAAAGGAAATCGTTGTGTTTTTGAACTAAGTGTTCCGTGTCTGTATTTATTTCATTGCGTGATTGCGACCGAGTTCGATTATGGAATTACAACCGGTTCATGCATGCAGTTAATAGTTTGAACGTTAAACAAGAACTACCATCGAAGAAAGTAAAGCAATTCTGTATCATACCTGATGCAGACAATTCCAAACGATATTTCTTGGTTTTCCACTTGAAAATCGTGTTTTTTAACTTTTTGCATGAATTAAAGCAAAGGAGTAGTGACGTCACTGGACGACATTAACGGCCGGTTGATTCAGACGTTACTGAGGGAGTAATAACGACTCGAAGTAATCGGATGAAATTCAGGCTACGTCGCTCCTAGACTTTTCCAGAAAAAAAAATCAAGCGCCCTTTAAAGTTTCAGCCTCTTTCTGATTATATACTTATGCTTCGTACCTGGTCCAAAAATACAGCTTTTATAGTTTTGTATACAGTGGGGTGTCGGTATATTTTACAAAAGATTATTTGTATCAAATTGCATTGTTTTTTATTCTTCAGGAAGCAATCGAATCACCCTTCTGTCACCGAATATATTTAACTCGTATTAATCAAGAATTTGAAGCAGATGCATTCTTTCCCATGTTTGATGAAAATGTTTACAAACTGATAAGGTATTTGTACTGTTGGTGTCATAGATTAGCACAGTGGTTGACCGAGATCTCGCCCACCACCTCCCTCCATTTTTTAGAGGGCGGGAATTCATTTAACCGTTTTCTTTCGATCAAACAATGCGATTTACTGAGACGAGATATGAATGAAAGTAAGGTCAACAACAGAAGACTTTTTTGTGAGTTTTTACCCAGTTAAATGCTTTCTGGTTATTGTATTTGAATAATCGCAAATTTTTCTGCTTCCGTCCATGCTATCACGAATTGTGTCCCGTTTTTTCCTGTGGCATCTGTGCTGTTTCGTAGACAATTTATCGTTGTTCAGAAAAATTCGTTTCGAAGACTCGAAAGCTTTAAACTTTTATTAAAAAGATAAACAGCGTTCGTTTTCACTTATGTGTGTATTTCTGTTTTAGCAACCCTTCTGAAGTGCCCCAAGGCGTCTTCGAAGAAAATCAAGTACAGTATAAATTTTGTGTTTATGAAAAACAGTGTTGAATACGAGGCAAAGAAAACGAGGGCGTACGATAAATGACAATTTCGAGAGACAGAAATAACAATTTTAAACTTAGTTTTACCATGAGACTACTGAGCTCCATACATCTCTTGCAAACTATTTTGGACGAACTTCTTACTGGCAACAATAGGTTGTGCGATGAAAGCGTTCTTTCAATTCCAGTTCTTTGTTGCAAACTTGATTTCAAATAAGCTAAGTTCCATTTAAAAACAAAGTATCCCCTTTCTTTGCATAAATATTTTTTTTGCAACCGTTGCAAACAGTATTCATCAGCAAATATTGTCTCAAGTATTGTCACGTGAGTTATAATGTGTGTTTAGTCACGTGATTACAAGTTACAATAAAACATAGGTAGTTCTTAATCACCATTTGTGTTGAGTGTTGTCCTCTGGCGTCTGATACGGATGACCTACTTAATTTTTCTTGAAAGATTCCCGCTCTGGGGGCGGAGCGAAGCTTGCAGTCACGTGGCCTTCCCGTCTTTCCTCCGCCAACCCCGTACCCCCGGGAGAGCTTGCTCGCAGGCTTAAGACGGTGTGAAGCGGTCGAAAGTTTCAATTGCGTCTTGACAAGTATTATAGCATCCGGGAACGTGTTTTGCGTTCTTCCCATTATGCTTTGCGAGGCGAGGCACATTTACTATCTCCTGAAAATGAAATTCTTTTGTGTGAGTCTATGTTAAACTTGAATAGTTTCAAGCAAGTTTTATCGGTTCAAAACTTCATTTTTATCTTTAAAGGTCTCGATCTAATGTGACGCTTCAGCCTTTCATGTATCAACGATTTTGTTTCAGCTTAAGAAAGTAGAAAGGTTGATATTTTAACTTGAAAATCGCCACCCTTGTTTTGTCTCACCAACGTATGACGCCCGGACAAACTCGTCTCACTTTTTCAAAAAACAATTGTAAACGGGGGGAAAAGCAATCTGCGTTTTCGTTCGGTGGCATATTTAACTTTTGGTTGGCTGATTGGGTTCTTGACATTGTTGTTGTAACTGTTCAAGGAGCTCTCTTCAAGAAAGTCTGCAACGTCGTTGCGGGGTTTTGTAGTTCTGTTTGTTTAGTATTATATGATATATAAATAATATGAAGTTACCAAACGTTTCATTCAGATAACTTTAATCATCAAACTCTGCTTTCGCACAATTTTTCTCGGTTTATTTTATTAATGTGAATACCGCAAACTACCGCTTATCAGCCGAAGGCTTATACATCTACGTAAGGGGCTTTAGGAGGGCATACAACCGGAAACGAAAAACCGCTTCGAAACCTTCAAAACGTCATAATTAATCGAATTCATCTAAATACAAGCGGCGGTTCGGGGGGTGGGGAGGGGGAGGGGTATGTCCGGAAAGGCTTACAATTGGGTGTACTTTTTTATTTACAAAGAGATGGGCCCATAACTGGACGGAACAGGGGCTTACAAGTGGGAGAGCTTATAAGCGGTAGTTTACTATATTAGACGTCTCTAACGAGATGTAGGCTGCTTCCCCCACTGCGAATAAAAGCACTTTGAAGCAGGAACGGGTGAACGAGGAGATATCGGTTTAAATGAGTAACGTAGTTGTTCGTTGCTGCACTTTCGTCTCGGGCTTTCCACGTCCGCGGGCGAAGGTGAACAGGAGAAGTATCCATCCTCTATTTCATGTGTTGGCGATCGCCTGTTTGAAATGAGTAACTGTGGCAATAGTGTCCCTGGGCGAAGCCTGGGGCTAGTTCGCTGCTGACCGTGAGATGAGCCCGCGACACTGCGTTCCTCAGACGAATTTGAACGTGACGTAGTGTCTTTAAGTGTTGTGGAAGTCTGGGTCGTCACACTGCCCTGCTTTGAAGAATCCCCTTCATAAGGACAGTTCAAAAGAAGATCGGGAAGGACATCTCCGGTTACCTTGTCCAAACTCTTCGAAGAGAGATCTGTCAATGTCGCCATGGCAACGATATCGCTCTTGTCAAAGGAGTTGCTTGGTGATGATGAAAGGGAAGACCGACATGATATCGGTGAACGCCTTTGAAAGTCGTCTGCAAAGGGAAATTCTTGACCTGTATGGAGAGAAAAGCGCTGTTTATCGGCGTTGTTTTTTAAATGAAGGGGAGCTAATTCCACCTTGGTTTCAAAGTTGGACTGTTTATTGTCCGAAGCAGAAGTAACAATTGCCATTTGATTGGCGAGTTCTTTGGGCGAGTGCCTTCCTTTTTTGACAGAAGATATACTAGGTAATTGAAACTGCGTATTTTCACTTCCTTCCAACTTATTATCACTTGATGGCTTTGCACTTTGATTGCTTGTTACATGGTGCGGTGGTGCAAATTCTAGAAAATCTGTTCCTTGAAGATCGCGTGACATGGATTTCCAGTCTGACATATCACTCTTGCTCTTCCGCAGTCCTGGAGGGGTGGACTTCCCAACACCCTCTCTGGTCGTGGATTCAAACACCGCTGACCCTGTTCTCTTATTAGGTTCTAACGGTGCAGGTTGTAGCGGGGGCGCTAACAGAGTCTTGGCGCCAACACCTGACCCATGAAGCTTTTTCGTATCCATTGCGGACAGGGTATATCTCCGGACTATTGACACTTGCCTTCGATCTTGATCGGCGGGATGGGTCACTGGCGAGGCCCGATGAGTTATAGTTTGCTTTACTGTTACTGAAGTTTGCGTTTCACGACGAAACAACCGAGGAGACGATAATGGACTTATAGTAGGTGATGACTGCCGACTTTTCACGAGAGATGTGTATGGATTTGAATGGGTCTCTATGTTTTCCAAAACCTCTTTGCTGTTATGTATTGGAGAGTTATTCATCACCTGGCGTTGATTTTTGTTTTTCTCTTCGCCGTCCGAAGCGAAACTTTGGTCTTTATGCGGAGATGTTCGTCTCGTAAATAGGAGTTGATATTCATTATTTGTTTCTTCTGTTTTAAAGTCATTGTTAAAACTTTGTCTTTCGTCACTCGACCCTAAACTGACAGTTTCACCTTTAGTTTTATTGTTGTCCATCTGGGACGAAATTTTAGCACCTTTATTCTCTTGAAGTAAGTTAGTAACTTGTTCATCCACAGAACTGGAGCAAGTAAGGTGTTCCTTTGAATCATTTGTGGTGCACGGAAACTCGTTAGAGTCGAGTGAAGAGCAAAATGAATCTTGTATCCTGAGAAGCTTCTCCAACCCAGGTGACGGACCACGTGGTGTATTCTCTCCGTCGGAAATCTGAAAGCTAAATTTTTCTTCCTCAGACAGTGAGCGTACCGACGTTTTTCTTGACTGGCTTTGATTCCCGTCTTTGCTCTCTCTTTTTTCCATTTTCTCTTTAGCATCTTCGTTGCAATTTAATATCTCTTCTATGTCGAGAGGATCAAAGTGGCATACAGAGCGCTTTCTTCTCCGTTCAATTTGTGGCGAATTGCTGCGGATTTCGTTCCCTAAATCGGAGCCTAGTAGATTATTGCAAGGGAAAGAAGGCTCTTCTTTTTCAGCCGCGTATAATATTGTACGATTTTTGCGGAGCGTATGACCCGTCAAAGGCCAAGAAAATTTGCGGATGTCCTGCATATTAACCAGACACTCTTCCAACTGTACCATCTGCGCTTCATTGCGTTCTCCTGCCAGCATATTCTCACGGCAAGCGTTTATCAGTAGTCTCGTTGTTTCCAAATCTGCTGCGTTTATTACGTAGTCGAATACTGTATTTTTGCTTAAATCCTGTACCCATGGATTACTCTTAGCATCTAGCAACGCTTGGATAACTTCTTTGCCAGAATTTGAGAGACATGCATGAATGAGAGCCGTACGTCCGTCAATATCTTGTAAATTTACCATAGCCTTTTTGCTCAGCAAATACGCCACAACTCGTCGTTTCTCGTCCGGATCTGTTTTAGACTGGCAACACAACATTAGCGGTGTTTCGAGGCGTTCGTTTCGTACATTCACAGATGTGCCTCCCTCCACAAGCATGCGCACCAGGCGAAGTTTGCATTTGGCGCTGGCCTGGAACAAAGTTTCTGATCCCTTGTTGTTCATAACTGTGAAGAAAAAGGCGAGAGTGATAAGTACTGCGTTTTTGGCATTGTGCCATGAACACTCGGTGCTTTTTAATTTTAAGGGCAAATTTTAAGCTCGGTAAGTGAATGTGAGAGATGTGATAATCAGCATGTAACGTGATGCGACGTAAAAGATCTTGAGTCCCCAGCAGGATTTTAACCTATGACCTCTCGAACATCTGGAGGTCACTGTAGTCTCTCTTCCTTGTTTCGTCACGCAACGCTCCTGGGGAGGAGTGTTGCGTGACGATACTGCGACCTCACTTGGACCAAATTTTCTGGACCTGGCAAAAGGCTCGATTTCCGCCGCTCTCTCGGATCTGATCACGTTTCTCCCCGCCATATCAAACAACAACTTTGAGTCTGCCGTTTAAAATCTGCTCAAGGAAAATGAATCCATGCTGCCTGCTCCATTTAAGTAGACAACGATCTGATTGGTGAAAAATAGACAATAGCAAACCCAGGCGTCCAACCGTGTTTTCGGGGAGGAGCACGGGTTCATTGTCCGAACAGTGGTTTATAATCGAGTCTAACCTGACAGAGGAGACCAGCCAGGTGACTAGTCCACTGCACAAACAATCCCTTTAAAATATGAAATGTCTTAGTCTTAAGCTACAAAAGTTGTAACTAGACGGAGGAAAAGTCTCTTCTTTTTAAAGATAACAACAACTTAGGCGTCGTTATAAATGTTTTGTTGGAATACGAACTGCCACCCAGGCAATAGCCTGAGAAAACGGCCGACGTTTTGCAACGCCACCACTACCAAGATCTGGGTAGTGTCGCGTCATCAATATGGAATTTCTAAGTTTGTTCCTCAGACGTCATCTCGCGGGGAAACCAACAACAACAACAATTTTATTAAAAAGCAAAGAAATACATTAAACATACACACTGCCTGCATTTAGCTAAAGCTATTAGAGGTAGGCAGTGTGGGTACCCTACATACTTAAATATATTTAACAAGGAAAATTAAAGAGATTTAAAACATCAAGGATAAGTCGGTTGTTTTGGTAGCTACGAAGACAGTGTGCACGTGACCTCTGCAATTATGAAGTAAAAGCTGGAAATTTAGATTACTGCCTTAATAAATAAAATTTTAAAAAAAAACAGCCAATATCTTCGTCATGGCAAAGTTCTTTTTTTTTTTTCTGTTTTCTTGTTTTGACAAGCTCTGAGAAGTGAAAGTGAGACGTATAGATTATGTGATAATTTGATTTTACCTTTCTCTCAATACTGATTTAGTTTAGTGTAGCGAGAAAGTTTATTTGAATGATGTTTTTGGGGCAGGAATTATATTGTCCTGCCTAATTGCTTTTCGTACCTTTGTTTCTTTAGCGCCTTGTACGCTTTCCGCCGTTCTTTTCCGCCATAATTGTCTCAAACAGTACATACATTGCAGGTGTTCGTTTGACATCAAGAAACCCACGCGTTGTGCAAACTTTCCGCCCTCAAGAATATGACATATTCTCCGTTATAACGAAACATAACTCCGAAACTTTACAAATTTATTCTTTTTCCTTTTAATGTACATGAGATGAAAAGGAATATTTTGAAATTCGATTTCGCTGATTTTAACGTTTTGAAATAGGATTATCTGCTTGTTACTTATCTTAAAGAAATTCCCTGAAGAAATAGGTCGTTATTAATGTTTACATTCATTGAATATCCAGTAAAATTGACCCCTAATTTCACAGAGGATGCACCAGTCTTAATTCATATTAAACTTTGTACTTTGAGTCTTAGAAACGTTTCTAAGTTCATGATAAAAACTTGCCACATGATGATTTTTCGCTCATGTTTAAACGCAAGCCGAAATACCGGTTTACGAAAATTACGGAAAGAGTTGATTTGAACCGAACGAGTGCTTAGTTCCTAAGAAAGCGTAAAGAACATTTTCCGAATCTTTCTAAAACAATTTTATCGGCATTTTAGAGTTACGTTGCTATTTTACTGAAATACGCTCAAAGTTTCGCGTTTCCTTGTCCACAGAAAAACAACAACCAATTTTTGCAGTTACTTACCAACGTTAAAGAACACCTTTGCTATTATTTCGTCGCTTCAAGCTCCACTGAAAATGTCTTTAGCCTCTGAAGAACGCCTTTGTTTTAGCTGCAGCCGGCTAAAAAAGAAAAAATAAAGAGTTACCTGACAGATCGAAATATTCCTTTGTTTTGCTGTCGGTTTCCTCGGTCACAATGTAGCGATCGAAATTTATAGCACATATAAACTAACTAGTTTTCAAAAGAAATGGACGAGAAGCTGCACTAGGAAGAGCTATTTTGTAACAATAACCGCTGGAATATTTACTAGTTACAGAATATCAGTCGTGAAACAAGTTGGCATCCAGGTTAACCGTGACAGATCATTTCCCATTAATCGTTCTTCTCCTCGTGAAGCTAGAAAGACAAACAACAGGATATGCAAAATGACAGCTATACTTCAGGCACAAAATAGTAGACTAGACTGACTCAGTCGACGCAAAAGCTTCTAAGTACTTCAATTGAAGACTGGAAACTGGATTAAAAAATGCCTTTAGCATTTTTGTTTCACCAAAATCGATCCAACTTTCATTGAACAAAAGAAAGGTTTCACTTTGGCCATGGCAAGTTCAAACCGATGGTGACTAGCTAGCAAATGATCAAATAATCGTCTTAAAATGAGAATTTAGCGCGTATTACTTAAATCGAACTTAAATAGTTTTCGTTTTCGAATATTGGAGGCTGTATACAAATATTACCTATGTTAACGACTTGTATGCAGACGTCTCACTGTGGTTGACAGCGAATTCAACAGTACAGCAAGAAAAAAAAATCTAACCAGAACCGGCTTCTCCGGCTTAATTTTCAGAATCATTTCTGTTTCTGCATGGGGCTTTAGTTTCAAAACCATTATTGATTTGTCCATTTAAGCCGCAAATGTAATGTCACAAAAGACATAAGCCTTCATTTTTTATTTTAAATGGTTTTAAAACAGAACAAATTTTAATTCTCGGAACTGTCAATCAAAATTTGAAAGCCTGCAGAATTTTAAATTGACAAGGAAGCTTGCAGCTGTTAAAATCAGTTACTAAATGATAATACTCTGACTTGTGTGGCTGAAAACATAATAAGTTACATTAAGTGAAGCAGTTTTTAAGAACAACCTTGAACAAAAGGCGCCACTGTGGCTCTGCTTGCCTCAATTTTGTTCGTCCAAATAAATTCTCTTCCTTCTGTAATAATGCCCATCAGTGAAGTGTTAGTTTTTATGGCCAAGACAAGTCGGTTTCTAATTAATGTTGGCGGACGAAGTGTATTCTAAAGTGAAAATAGATTAATGCTTGCCAACTAAGAGCAGAGTAACAGCCAAAAAAGCGTGCCAGCTAACTTTTAAGCCAGCTGGCTCGAGCTGGCAAGCCCTGGGGGAGGGTGGGAGGTGATGGTGTGGATCGTGGTAAGCTGTATTGAAGGGTTCGATCAAAGGGAAGAGAAATCGAACACCCAATCAGTATAACCTATCCGCAAAAGTGGATCAAAGGACACCAGTACCAACGTTTATCTGAGGGGAGCTTTACGAAAATATTATATATCTACAGACACCAAGATTTTGGACAACGAAGACTGTTTCATCTTTTAAGTTGAACTAGTCATGGATATTCGAGTGTTTAAAAACACCCGAATATCATGAATTTACGTCTATTTAAAGCTCGCTAAATATCAATATCAACCTCCAATTAATGAAGGCTCATTTTAGAGAAATATTACCATGTTTTCAGCACTAAGACATCCCTCCTTAAATCCAGCCACGAGGACACGGAAAACTCCATTCATTTCCAGATGACTCCCAAAATAGTTTTAGTACTGAATATGAAAATTCTTCGTACCTTTCTCTAATTTTTGGCTCTTGATATAAAAGCAGTTGTGTTCATAGAGTTTCTCTACTGTTTTAGTAAAACTATAAAGAAACATCCCTATACTAATCATTTTAATCTAATCTCCCAAAAAGTCTCTTTGTAGTTTTAGGTTCAAATTACTAAATAACGATTTTGTCCTCTGATTTCGGAAAGAAACAGACAGAAAGGCAGGTTTTTGTTAAAAAGGAGCACTGCCATCAAACTTATCATTTAAGTCGCAAACAACACAATATTCTCTAGAGTAAACAAAAATGGCGTCTAACCTCGGATTAAATGTTACTCCTTGTTTATTTTTTTCTTTTTCTTTTTTTTTTTTTCAAAAACATTTTCTCTCTTAAATTAAACCGAGTTGTCTTTGAGCGTCCAAAACTGTATTTGCTTCGTTAGCACGCATCTTAACCAGGCTTTGAAAAATATGTGTTCGAAGTGAGAGAGAATGTAATGGCACAAAGATGGAATCTTAGGGCGGTGGCAGGGTTACGTGAATTTCCCCTCAAGTTATTTTTAGAGGTTGGTGAAATCGCATATCCCAAGGGTTAGACTGGCCATTTCCCTCTCTGTCCCGGCGATATTCTCTCTGGAAGGGGACTAACGGCAAATTGCTGGGAATATCTGTATGTCCTATAAAAATGTTCATCTGTAGGATGCCTGAAATGTGTTCAACTTCAGAATTGGTTTCGGCTCCGGATCTTGTCTTTTCGGGTTAATATGGAACGATCGGACAGAATATGCATTTCTGAACCAACTTAATTATAAAAGTTGGTAATTAATGAGTTGAGGGAGGATATATCTTTGCATAGACACCTGAAATTCTGACCAATCCTGCCAGGGGTACACACAAAAACCTATACTACTAAGATTTTGAGAGAAATTTCACTCCCAATTTTGCTATTCACCTACTACCCTTTCCCTAGCCAGCCGAAATTCTATTCTTAAGGAAGACGACAAAGTGGGCAAAAAACTAGATATAGAAGAGAAAGGAAAAAAAGAAAGAAAGAGAACAAGAAAGAAGGATCAAAAAAAGATTCGCAAAAAAAAAAAATGCTTATGCTTATGCGCCAAAAGTAATAGCAGAATACTATCTCAAT